CTCGCCACCATCGCCACCGCCGACACCATCGCCGGCAACCCCGCACAAATGGATCTCTAAATTTTTAGATCTGAAAAAAAAAACGAGATCCAACTCTAATAGAAGAAGAAAATGACAAAAAGAAGGTTAGATCTAGCAAGAAAAGAATGGAAAGAAGAAGAAGGAAGAGGAGGAAGAAGATGACGAGGAGAAGAAAAGGAAGGGGAGAGGAAGAGAGAGAAAGAGTGGAAGAAGGAGGAGGAAGGAAGAGGAAGACAGAGAGAGGAGACGGGAAAGGAAGAGGAAAGGGGGAGGGAAGAGAGAGAAAATACCTGTGTGGTGCTGTGTGGGATGGCAGGCCGAGAATGACAAGAACGGATGAGGGAGGGGTAATTTAGGAAGATTGAGTATGAAAACGTAGACTGGGAACTTGAAATTCGGACGGAGAAAAGCGTAGAGTGGGAACTTGAAATCCGGACGGAGGGAGTACTTTGTATAATATTATATGGATTGAGAACACTAATTATGATTAAATGTGAGAGATGACTTGTTACAGCAATAGCAACAAATCACAAGCAAATCAAAGAGTGATGAGTGTTTCTATTACCGGGAATAGGGACGACATCTTCCCCTTGATGAAACACCCAAGCAAGTGCGAGCTGTGCGGCTGCGGTACATCCATGCTTTTCAGCCAGCTTCTCAAATTTCAAATATAGGATCCTGTTTTTGTCCAAGTTTTCTCCTTGAAACCTCGGGAAAACTCCCTTAAGAAAGGTCGCGAAATGTATGTTTGTTTGTAATCATCAGCCAAATAAGCATGTAATAAACTAGGGAATAATCCCTTAAAAGCAGATATATACATGTAACACTCCATAATATATTATGTACCAGAGAACTATTTTCAGCGATAGCCCCATTCGTTTTTTGCCAGCAAAGAAACCACGACCAAGGGGACTGTACGGGACAATCCCAATTCCTAATTCCCTGCAGGACAGTTGAACGCATTTGTTTAATAATATTATTAGCTAGCCATTATCTCATAGAAGTTCAAAACATATTTCTTATTATTTACCCTTCTACTCTCATTTCACATTCTAAGATATTTATTGAATATGCATTTAATTTAAAGATAAGGGAAGTATGAAAGAATCACATAAATAATAAGAAAATTTGTTGCGAGTAATCCTAACCTTGGGCCGGTCTTCTGGAAAGAATAACGAAGGTTACAATTCTGCCAAGAATAATTATAGGGTTGTGATACTTTCATCCGATATTGTATCTCATTTTGTATCTCAAAAGTTTGCTCTGACATGAAATATAAGTGCAATACTGATATTATGCTAGTGTTGCACATACATTTTGTATCAGGGAAAAACCTCTAGGGTACAAATAAATTTTTTCATAATCTGAGAATATATCAATCAGGCTATGGGTACACCACTTCGTACCTAAGTAGTGAACCTAGAGCGCAGCTGATCCTAGAAGACAATGAAGAGGATGAGATGTGGGATAGTATGACAATTGATTTAGCATTATTAAATACTTCTAAGTGACTTGTTGCGTTTTTAGTTATGAGTCCCAAGTTGTGTATATTTTAAATACTTAAGCTTCCACATTATTTAGTTTCTCCGGTGATGGATTTTAAAATGAAAAATGTTTATAGGTTTTATTTATTTTAAAAATATTGTGTGTTTTGGATACCAAATTAGTAGCAACTCGATTTCCTAATAACTCATGTATTCGAGTTATACGGGTTCGGGTGTTACAGGTTTTATCTCTATATATAGAGATTAATATAAGAGATGATTCTATAGATATTAGAAGCAATAAAATAAGGAAAACAATAAATGATAATAATATTATATTTCTTATTGTCCCTATTATTCCTAATACCGTAGCAAGCTGATCATCAGGAACGAGAAACAACTTGGAACAAAGGTACTTAAATGGAGTCGGTGGAAGAAGTTTCCAAATAGCCGCTAGATGTAGCGAGGGGGATCTTTGTTGTATGAAGAACAAGTTTGATAGTATATTTACCAAGTTCTTTTTCAGGGAGAGCGTTGGCGATTAGAGCGAGAACATGGAGTTCTTTTTTCTTGTGAACCGTTCTCTGTTTCTCTATCGCTTTCCATGCTCTTGAATTCTTGAAGAAACACAGAAAAATGTAGCTTCCCAATTCTTCGATGACGTACAAATTTTTTTCAAAGAGAGAGAGATAAAGAACAGCGACTGTTAGATACACTCATAATTATATGGAGAGAAAGATAAGGATAAGGGATGGTGACTATTAAACACGCTTGTTGGGATCAATGGAAACTGTTAAACAAACACACTCTTTTCTTGGAGAGGGAGAAACCCATACAATGATATAACTATATCGGAAGAACCCTCTGTATAGGAAAAACGTTCTTGTCAATTTATGAGTTTGGGTGAGACCTTGAGGAAAGAGAATAATAAGAATATGTATGGTTCAAATTTATGATGGATTAAAGATTTTTTTAATGAATCAAAGGAACAAGGAATTACAATGGCCCGGTGCCGCAGCTTACCAGAAATCAAGGCAAAAAGAAAAATTGGTCACCAAGAATGGTGGCTCTGATATCATAATAAAATTTGATAGTAATTGGTCTAGTTGAAAAATAATAGTTTCAACCCGAATTAAAATAAGAGTTCAAACCGTTTGTCTGACAGTCGAGGTCCATTTCGATGTTTAACGCGACGGTCGACCGTTTGCGTTGACCGTTTGGGTCTGCGAATCTTTCTCTTGATATTTTGAGTGTCCAAAATACTTCTTTAAGTCTTTTAAGCACCTTTGATTAACATATACATACTGTTGGGTTGATTTCCAAAGTTTATACTTACTTATGTGTATATTAACTTTATGGATTTGGTGTATTTTGATCTCAACATATAGATAACTTATATATGTATCACATATATATTTTGGAATGGTTTTAACATATGGAATAACATATATGTTCATGTATGTATGTGATGAATGATTCGACAAGTCTAACGCAAAGGTACAGACCTGGAAATCATCGGCCGAAACCTTACGGATGAGCGGGAGTGGAAACAACATCGAAATTCACTAACTTTGTTATTCCCGTCACAACTGAACAGCCTGCGTTATTTTGAGCATATCTCCATCGTTTCTTCACGGAATTACAAACCGTTTGATTCTGTGGATTCCTAAGATGTAAGGCTATAACTTTTGTGAAGAAACCATGTTAAAATAATGAATTTAAAGTAGTCAAATATAGCTCACAAGTGGACTAATAGGTGCTGCCAGGATTTTGGATGTTCCGACGAACGGCGTTTCCGACGATCAACTTATCCATTTCAATATTCCAACACCGAACCTTCTCTACGTTACCTTCCGGATGTTCCTAATAGTCGTTAGAGAGTTTATGGTGAGTATTTGGAATGAATCAATATGAATTTGGTGAAGAAAATGGTCTAACCCGAGGAGCTCGCCACCACTGGCGCAATCCCGGTATTTTGGCCATATCTTCTTCGTTACGTAACGAAATCGCGAGCCGTTTGTTGGGCTGGATTCGTATCGTCCGAGGCTACAACTTTGGTTCAAAAGGTATTTCGAGATAATGGATGGAAAATTACAGAACTTACGTAGAAGTCGATGTTGCGTTTGGAACTCATGATTTGGAAACTATGGATGATTTCTTCTTGTTTCTCCTCCTTCTTTGAACCATCTATGGAGGAGGGTGTTTTCTTCTCTCCTTGAAGTTGCCGACAGTGAGAGAATGGAGAGGGGAGAGATGAGATGATGGTGATGATGGTGGAACATGATGATAATGAAGATGATTGTGGTGGTGGAGTATTATAACATAATACTCCCTCCGTCCCCCTGTATTTGTCCACATTTGACTTTTGAAACTGTTTATCTAAACACTTTGACTCATCAAATTCTCTCAATGTGTAAGCCTAAATATAGTCATGTGTGATCTTGTTTGATTTGTCTTAATATATACTCCCTCTGTCCTTCATAGATCTTCTCAATAACCCTTTTTCTTTGTCCACAATAGATCTTCTCATTTCATTTTTTAACAATTAAAATACCACAACTACTCCCACTTACTTTATTTATTACACCTCACCCACCTCATTTAATACACTCCACCCATTTTTCATTAAGGGTATTATGGTAAACTTTCACCTTTTTTCAACTCTCCTTAAAAACCACCAAATGTCAAAATGAGAACATCTTAGGGGGACGGAGGGAGTAGATTATTAATATATAATTTCTATAATTTTTTAATATACAAATTACAAGATAAAATGGATTAAAGAAGTGCATTGGATTGTGTGTAAAAATGAAAGTGGACAAATACAGGGGGACGGAGGGAGTACTTTGGAAGTATTATGTAGGGAGAGATTTTAGGTGGCTAGTGGAGCAAAAGTGAGGCTAGGAGGGGCTGGTCCCTGATTTGGAAGAGATTTGATAATTTAAGTTTTGGCTTTTTGCCAAAACTGAACAATTTATTCCAAACGGTACGCGCCTTTTCGCCCAAACTGCTCCGAATGGAAAACAGATTGTGTTTTTGGAATCAGACTATCAAAACTAAAATTTTGATGTAATCAGAATATTTTTCTGAGAACTTTTATTTTTATCAGGGTTCGGATCTGTCTCAGTCATAAATTAATTTAATAATATGAATGAGATAAAAATATACGAATTAAATCCAAATGATTAATATGATGTTATCAAGTGTCAAAATTATGATTTCTAATCTTATAAAATCACTTTTGAATTGAGTTTTTTTATGGGTCAAAGTTACAAATTTTAATATTTAAAATTGACATAACTTGAAATCTATAAATCAGATTGGTTCTTAAAATGTACCGTTGGATTCGTCTCTTCGAGACATATCCATAAAAGTGAGTTTTTAATAAAAATTCATTATTTTGAAAATCCATTTATTTTTAGTCAAACGTATAAATGTTTCTTATTGGACAAAAATATTCAAAACTACTTTTGTCTTATAAAATTTAGGCCATGTTTCGTGGCGTTACACATATGACGCCGAGTGAATGAAGCTCGTTTGAAGCCTAGGGGGCGGTGTGTAACGCCCCCGACATTAAAAATAGGGGTGACGCCCACCGGTGTCACACCCGTTTCCACTGCTCTAATCACAATTCTCTAATCCCATTCCAGTATTCCTAAAACACCGACATCAACAAAATATATATAATTAGAATTAGGAGCATGCTACATGTACCCCAAAATTTGAACCCCATTTGTACACCAGATGTATGAACCAGCATTTTGATGATTCATATTGACACTAAGGGCCTGTTCTTTAGGACGAGAAAAAAAGAGCTTGATGTTGGAAGAAACTGGAAGGAACTCGAAAAACTGAAAAAAATTAAAAGAAACTGAAAAACTAGAAAAAAGTGAAAAATCTAAAAAAAGTTTTAAAATTTTTTTTATCTGTGGTTTTATATTAATCTCATTTTGATTCTTGTTGTAATAAATTATTATTATTATTATTATTATTATTTTTGTTGTTGTTGTTGGTGGTGGTGGTGGTAGTGGTGTTATCACGTTATCTTAATGATTGTCTTTAAAATAAAAAAATATTACAAGTATTATTTTTCATATATAAAAAGATATTTTTAAAAAATAACTAGAATATAAAATTAGTATCAATATTACACTTCTTGAGTCATTTTTTCTTTTTCAAAATGTAGTTTTCTCTTGCTTTTCATAATGTAGTACTCCCCACCACATTCCATACCTTATATTTTAGATTAAAATATTGATATTTACCTTATATAAATTTAGATTAAAAAATATTCTATATTGATACAATTTGATAATAACTTGTCTTATTGAATATTGAGAGATATGGCCCTATATATAGGGAATACAAGAGTAATCAAAGTACAAGTAGGAAAGGAAAGAATAATCCTAGTAGGAAAGGAAAGAAGTATCCTAATTTAATTATACTTCCTAATATCCCCCCGCAAGCTGATCAACGGAGACGAGGGGCAGCTTGGAACATAAGTACTCAAAAGGAACTGGCGGAAGCGGTTTGGTAAGAATGTCTGCTAGCTGCTCTGAGGAGGAAACATGATNAATAACTTGTCTTATTGAATATTGAGAGATATGGCCCTATATATAGGGAATACAAGAGTAATCAAAGTACAAGTAGGAAAGGAAAGAATAATCCTAGTAGGAAAGGAAAGAAGTATCCTAATTTAATTATACTTCCTAATATCCCCCCGCAAGCTGATCAACGGAGACGAGGGGCAGCTTGGAACATAAGTACTCAAAAGGAACTGGCGGAAGCGGTTTGGTAAGAATGTCTGCTAGCTGCTCTGAGGAGGAAACATGATGTGGAGTCATAGTGCTGGCCATAACCTCATCTCGTACAAAGTGACAGTCTGTGCCGACATGCTTCCTGCGATCATGAAGAATTGGATTTTTGGTGACACAGATAGTCGACTCATTGTCACAGTATAACTTTGGTTTGGACGGAGGAATACCCAGTGCATCAGTGATATATCGAAGCCACATAGCTTCTGCAACCCCTGCAGCCATAGCTCGATATTCAGCTTCAGTGGATGATCTAGAAACACGAGTCTGCTTTTTCGTGCACCAAGAGATGATATTAGGACCGAGTAGGAGTATGTAGCCCGTGGTAGACTTGCGATCATCTTTATCATTGGCCCAGTCAGATTCAGAGTAGACAGATAGGTCGAATCCCCCCTTGCGAAAAAGAAGACCATGATTCAAAGTGCCTTTGAGATAGCGCAGAACGCGTTGCAAGGCATGATAGTCCTGCTCAGTGGGGTTGTGCATAGTCTGAGACACTCGATTAACAGCATACTGAATGTCTGGACGAGTGACAGCCAAGTAATGTAAACCGCCAACAATGCTCCGAAAATGAGAAATATCCTTGAAAGGCAACGAAGGCTTAGTGATAGGTCTCGTAGCCATAGGAGTAATAGCCGGATGACAGTCGGACATCCCAGCTCGGCGTAGAAGATCACGGGCATATTTGGATTGATGGAGAAGTATAGAATCTTGCGTGCGCTGAACCTCAATGCCAAGGAAGTAATGAAGAGGTCCAAGTTCTTTGAGCTTGAAGTCACGGTGCATGGCCTGAGTAACTTCTGAGATGAGAGTAGAAGAGCTGCCAGTGAGAACAATATCATCAACATAGACA